AAGTTATATAGGATAAAGATAAAAAGCCCAGAGGCAAAAGGTAGATGGGATAATTTAAGTTAAGAAAAACTGGCTAGAAACAAGCCAAGCTAAGGCCAGGCATTTATAAGTAATAATAAGTCTCCATGTGTATTTATTTGGGAGCTGAGTGGCAGGCCACCCAAAAGAGCCAAAGAGTGAAAAACAACCACCTATACATACCAACCCTGCCTATCCTTTCTCCTGCTTTGCTATTGGACATTCATCTCTTTATTAGACCAATTATGTGTTTTAGACAGGCAAAATAACACAGCTTCACAAAGTTAAACAAATGCAACATAAAAGAATGCAACACATCTTTGCATCATTTAACAAATATTCTGCAGCATAAACAAATGTAACACATCTTAAACTAATATTTCACAGCAGGTGGCACCACCCACAATAGGCTAAGCCCTCCCTCATTGGCATAAAACTAGCCAGTACATTTTGTTACTTGAAGTTATGTTTGTGTGTCTGTGTCTGTGTGGGGGTATGTGTACATGAGTCCTGATGCCCAGGAAAGCCAGAAGAGGTCACTGGATCCCCTAAGGCTGGAGTAACAGGAAGCTGTAAGCCAGCCACCTATGGGTGCTCAGAACTGAACTCAGGCCCTCTGCAAGAGCAGTAAATCTCTCTTAAACTACGGAGCCATCCTCCAGATCAGAATACCTTTTGTTTATTCTTTGACAACATCATGCATGTATACTGTATATCTGGATCACATCCTCCAGACCAGAATACCTTTTGTTTATTCTTTGACATCATGCATGTATACTGAATATCTGGATCACATCCTCCAGATCAGAATACCTTTTGTTTATTCTTTGACAACATCATGCGTGTATACTGTATATCTGGATCATATCCACTCCTAAAGCCCCCTGCCCCCACACCTGCTAACACACTCCCCCTCCCTTTTTTTCTTGTCAGTGCTTCCTGTTGGAATGTTGAGTGTTCTTGTTGGCAACCACAGTTTTATCTAACCAGAATACAATCCTACCCAAGGTACCTCCAGAGCCACCCTATACTCTCATTTATAAAAAAAAAAAAAAAATGAAGAAAATCTTCTTGGCCACCCTTTGACATATAGCTTCAACACCCAGAACATCACATACATGGCTAACCACTTAGATAGGTGAGCACATGTCTCTTCTGAGAAGCCCACACCCACACCTGGGTATCTTCCCCCAGTGCCTGTCCTTCTATGAACCCCTGTGTTTAAATCAGTGTTAAAATTCCCTCTTAATAAACTCTAACTGTGCCTCACACTGGCCCATCCTAAAATTGTGTTTTGCACCAAAGTCATGAATCCTGTCTTTGGGCTGGCGAGAGAGCTCAGCAGCACTGACGGCCTGAGGTCAAAACCTGGAACCTACGTAGCCAAAGGAAAGAACTGATTCCCACACATTGTCCTCTGACTCCACATACATACCATGCACCTGTGTGTCTGCACTCCTACACACACTCACAAAATGAATAAATGAAAAATAATCTTCACTGAGTAGAGACCACAGAGAATAAGTAAGCTGCTGCAGTATGGCAGTCTCCAGCCACTCACACTAAGACTCCATTACCAGGGACAGACTTCAAAATGCTTGCCACACACCCATTGAATTCATTCCCTTACAGAAGAGACATGAGTTGAATCTTCATCCCACTGAATTGGGAAAGCCAAGTTTTCCAAGTTTTTTTTTTTTTTTAATTTCTTTTATTGAAAATAGATTTTGTTCATACAATACATTCTGAATTCGGTTTCCTCTCCCCCTCCTCCTCCTAGTTTCTCCCCACCTCTCCTCCCATCTGGAGCCACACCCTTTCTGTTTCTTGATAGAAACCAAACAGGCATCTAAGGAATGATGATAAAATAAAATAAGCTAAAACAAAAACAAGTCAAAATAGGACAAAACAACCAAATGAGGAAGAACCAAAGAAAAAGCATAAGAAATCCACGTGGATGCAGACACACACATTCTCACACACAGGAATCCCATAAAAACCCAAAGCCAGAAGCCAGAATATAGATGCAGAGGACCTGTAAAGTTAACACGAGACAAAGCATCTCCAAAGGTACCCTTGACTTTGTCCTGTGTCAGCCATCCACTGCTGCCTGCTCCTAAGAGTGGCTTGTTTACCCGGTGAGACTCCCTTGGAGAAAACTCATTTTTTCATTTGTAAGTGGCTATCAACTGGAAATAGCTTCTAGGTTAGGGATGAGGCTTGCGTC